AGATATTTGTAAAATTTATATTAGGAGTTCAAAGTTCCCAATATTGCTGCATTTTCCAAGTGATAGATTTCTCTAAGTAATCATTAATGTTCTTAGTAGCTTGTTAGTCAATTGCTTAAAATTAACACGACGTATAAAAAGGAATTAAATACTTTTTTCCAATCACAATATCTCATTCAAAGTCAAAATAACATGATTTTATGAATGTGTGTATTATCATTGGATTCCATATTTCATGACCTAAACTATACATAATCTACTAGAATACTCTATCCCATAAAATAAAAAAATAAAATAAAAAAACTAATGTCATTACTTCCTTGTATTGTCAGAATTTTTTTTGTCATTAGGTAAGTGGACAAAGTCTTCAAGTTTCTATGTAATTTGTGATTTGTATCCTAGGTTCTTTTCAACTGTAGGAAGAGTTTGTTCTGGCAGTCTGTAGACTAATCATGAACGTTGAAATCATTGATTTCTATCCATGCTGCTTGATGAGAATTATCATCCGCACCAAAAGTTTTGTATTATAATTAAGTTCAATAAGGTTAAAAGAGACATTCAATCCTAATTAAGATATTGAGATTATATTTTTTTTATAAAACATGTGAATTCAACTTATTTTTCTATCTACATACAAAATAAATTAATTTTTTCTAATGTATAATTTTATATTAATATACATAACCTTTTGATTTAACTATTAGATTGGATTGGAATTTTTTCAGATGATTTTAAAAATAAAGGTTAAAATTGTATAAAGATTAAACACCTAGAAGTTCTTCCAATAAAGACCATAGGATACTGTGCATGAATTGCATTAATTTACTAGTTGATTTATAAATTTTTTCTATTTTTTATAATTTTTTTATTATTTTTCAAGTCTTGTTTATAACATTTCACCTAACATAAATATAGTTATTTAATTTGTGTTTAGAGTTTTTTTTTAATTATTAGAGGTAAATTTATTATTAAAAAATAAACATGCATGCGAGAATTTGTTTTTACTTTTGTTTTCTCATATAACTTTTTAAGATTTTATTAAAGATGAATTGTCTCTATGATGTTCATCCTTACACCTACAATTCTTGGTTTGTTATAATCCACCAATCAGGGTTTCATTCTTATACTTTTGCTTCTTGATTTGTTATTATTAATGGATCAGGTTTTCTTATCCAATAATTATAATTTTTTGATTCATGTAATCACTTGATTGGGTTTTTTTTCAAATTAATTTTGACTTTCTTTATTTTTTTTTATTTTTTTTTGTTCAATGGGAGTTGAAGAACTTTTACATTCCAGATTCACATCACCGCTTCTTTCCTCATACAAATGCAACATTGCTGAATATAACCAAAAAAAAAAGCACATGAAAGTTTAGAAAGGCAAGTCACCAAGTCACATGTGTGTGTTTATACAGACACACACACAAGTAAATCATCAGATTTCAGGGCACATAATGCTAGCTTTCTTGGCATGTAGTGTCTAGAGTTTGGATAATTTTGTCACATGCTTCTGGATGCATTGATTGGTGATCATCACATGGAGAAACATTATTCTGATATAACATATATAGAACTGTGTATGAATGAATTGGCAGCTAAGTTAATTGGTCGATAAATGGATTTTGCAGTCCCGAGAGACCTCATATCAAGAAATTATTCTTCCTATCTGTAACCCAAACATTATATTAATAAAAACTAAATAACTTGTTGCTTGTAAATTTTCTGCGTAAAATGACACATAAACACTGTACACCCACATGCATATTATCATATAAAGTTTTTTCTTTTTTTGGTTATCTTTTTTCTTCCCATCTTCTGTTCTATATGTACAGTGCAACCATTCTTTTACTCAGTGCAGAGACAGGGCATGCGACTAGGAGACTAAGTAATGTGACGTAAGCCCTTTTTGTCTCTGAGCTAAATTATATGGCTTCTCTGCAGCTGTTCTACTTGGCAGAGAGATTTCACTAGTTCCATAATTTCTTCTTGGACGTTGTGAAACAATAATCTCAATTTAATTAGATTCATGAACAAACTTTTGTTGGTTTCTAGATATACATAAACAAATTATTATAATTCAAAAGTTTAAATTATTAAATAAAATTTAATAAATTATTTCATTCATCAAAGAAAATATATTACATATATAAATTGATTAAAGGTATTGTTGAGTTTGTTTTACATTATTTTCTTTTAGCTTTTATTTTTAACTTTAAAGTAAAGTATAAAAAAAGTATTTGGAAAGAATTTTAAAAATATGTTTGAATGTAATTTTTATAAAATGGTTATTTAAATATATACTAGTTTTTATTAGGAAAAGTTATAGTTACAATTGAGAATAATTAAGAGGCTTATCCTATAATTAGTCATCTACAAAGAGAGAGGAGGTCGATTATAAAAAGAAAAGAGAAGAGTTTTAATGACAAAAAACTCTGATATCAAATTAAAAATAATTAGTAAATTTAACTTATTGATTAACTAAACTTTATATATATATATATATATATATGTATAGAACAATATATAATATACAATAATAATAATGTAGATTATAACACAAGAATATGACTATATTTCCTTTATGATATGCCTATAATATTGTTTATATAGTTACATTATATAATAGTTATGAAAATGAAAGACTACTTATTTCATTTTAAAAATAAAAATAACTTAAAATTAACTATCCTCAATCATTATTGTTTTAAATATAGTAATTAAATAATATTTAATTATATAATTAATACCCTTAAATATTTTAAAAATAATTAAATTAAATTTTTTTATTTTAAGTATATTAACTCCATTTTAATTAAATTATTTAGTGTTTCTATTTATTTGAAGAAAAAATGGAGTAATTTTTTAATTTTTAGAAAAAATGGAGTAATTTTTTAATTTTTTTGATACTTTTAATCCAACAATATATATATATATATATATATATATATATATATTTAATTTCACAACATGATACAATACAACAATTCATTACTCAACAATTTAATGTGTTTAAATTTATAATACAATATATTATATCAAAAAAAATATTTCAACTCAAAAACTTAAGTTCTTAAGTCTTGCACAGACCTTATTTAATGTGTTTAAATTTATAATAAAGTATATCATATCAAATAATTTTCTCAACCCACAAGTTTAAGTTATTATGTGAGACTTCAATATTAGTTTTATATTATTCTTTAACATATCCCTCAAGTGAAAGTTATTTAAATTTGAAACTTGCATAGATCTAAATTATTTTATACTATTAATTTTATATTATCAAAAAAATAAAGGTGATGATATTCGATTTCTTGATCGCTTGATAAATAAAATTCTGATATTATATCAAAAAATCATCATAATCTAAAAGTTTAAGCTACTAAGTGAGATTTCAAGAATAGTTTTATATTGTGCTTGAGGGTCATATCCTAGCGGTCCTAGTAGGGAATTCCCTGCCTCTACATGTAAGTTCGACTTTCTAAGCGGTCGCTTATCACTTTCGCGGTGTCTTATTTGTCCATTAGGCTTGCAGGATCTTCAATGAATTCAAGGATTAGTTATGTATAAACTGACCGGAACATCTCAGGTTATAAAAAAAATAGTTTTATATTACTATTTAACTCATCTAAACATAAAACAAGACAAAATTGGTGTCAAACACGCTTACTATAAAACTTAATCTTATTGTTAGGAATATATATATATGTGTGTGTGTGTGTTAAAAAACCATTTTAACTCATTAGCTTAAATTGTTAAATAAGATCCTAAAATATAATTTATATTATTTTTAGCACACCCTTTCAAGTGAAAATCCCTTCAAGTATGGAACTTGTACATAGCATACCCTTTCAAGTAAAAATCCCTTCAAGTATGGAACTTGTACAAGCTCATTCTATTTTGTATTTAGTTTTTATTAAATAGATGAGGATGATGAGATTCAAACTTGTAACTACTTGGTCATCAAAACTCTATTACCATATAAAAGAATTATCTTAACTCAATAATTATTATTAATACTAACATGTATAAGGTTATTTTTCATTATTGACCAGAACCGTATGGTGGGCTTTAGCTGGGTCTATATAATACCAAGACGTAGCCTATTGATATTGATTCTATTAAAGCCTAAAAAAAATAATATAATTGATTATATTTTTTTTATTATCTCTTTTTGTATTAATTAATGGTATTATAAGAAATAGTGGGTAAATTAGTAATTAATTAATAATTTAGAGAATTAAAAAAAGAAAGATCTTATAATAACTTATGTTTATTTTGTTAAATAATTAAAATATATAAGAGAGGGGAAGAGAAAGATCAAAGAGAAAGTTTGATCTAAAATCAAAATCTTTGTTTGTTTTACTAATTTAAAGTATGTGTTCTTTATTTTTATGTTTTAATCTAGCTTTTGCAAATATATTAGGGTTATTGAGAAAGATTTAGGACTTAGCATTTTTATAATATTTGATTTTTTTAATTTTTTTTAATAAATAGGTGATACACTAATGGAGTTTTAGATTGATATGAAATCATTTAAAATAATTTTATATGTTTTTGGTAAATTAATTTGAGTTATGTAATAGTAAAATTAAAGAATTAATAAAAAAAGATGATAAATTGATAATTTTAGATCATTAAAATTTAGTCTTTTGATGAATATTATTGTCTGAATTTGATACCTAGTTATGATATACCTAGTTATAATATATCATGAGTTTTTTAATTTAATAGATTATTTATCTAAATTAAATTTATTAATTAAAAGTTATTATCATTGAAAATATATCATTTAAATATATAATATATTTTTTTAAGCCCGCTCTCAATTAATTAATTTTATGGGTGCAATTCACCACAAATATTGTTTTATAGTCCCAGAAGAAAAACACATGAAGATCTAGACAAGGTGATTCTTTCAAAAGTTTCTTACCCCAATGCCCAGGATGCTTTTATTGGTACTCTCCAGCTACCTCATTTTTTTCCTTTTCAATTTGAATAATTATATTTTCTTTCCTTTTACTTTGTAGGTGTTTTGCTTGAATGCTTGACAGAACAAACATGGTGGATTTTTTTAAGGTAAAGTGATCTTTTTTGTCTCTCATTTTGTATGTTTAGCTTGTTTAAGTGTGTGATTGTTTATAATGTGTTTTTAACTTATAAAAGTATATAAATAATTTTTTTTATTTTTTTAAAATAGTATATTAAAATGATTTGAAAACATAAAAAATATATTAATTTTAAATAAAAATTTTTAAATTATTTTAAAAATACTTTTAAAACACACACTGACAACAAGCTTATATGCGTATAAGAGAAAGTTTAGAGAAATGTAAGAAAAAGAAACTTATTTTAATAATATTCATGTGTTGATCATACACGCTGTAATCTTGGGGTTCATTTGATTCTTGAATTTTGGGTGAGAATAGATATGAGAATGCCTAAGAGCCAGTATTTGTTTCAGCAACTACTTGAGGGCTTAAGCTTTGGCATGTGTGATTCTCATCAATTCTGTGAAAGTTACAAGTAAATTTGGTGTCTGAAACTAGCTGTGTGCCCAAGCTTTGCGCGATGAATTTCCAGCCCACAGCATAACACTAGCAGAATTCCTAGTTGTGATTTCAGTGCCCTTCATGGACTTGAGTGAGCTGTTGACTTCCATTTTCACCATGAAGTACCTAGCAGTGAATGCAAAACTGCAAACGCCATGTCTGTGCCTGTCTTCGATGTTTTGTGAGAACTGTCCGCAACAATTAGTTACTTCCAGCAAGGAGTCAAAATCCTATGATGCTTTGATATGTCCCCTTTTATAATGTTTGCCATAACCTACGAAAAAATTCTTAGTTTTTTTCCCCAGAGATAGAAGGATTTTTGTTTTCTTTTTTGGTTAGACTCTGCTAGATGGCCTGCATCTAAAGAAGGGAAGGTGAATAAAGAAGTGCCATTACCATCTCCATGCTGTAATTACAATAAGAAGCTTACTGTCATAATTACTCGTCATTAAAAGAGAAAACAAGCTGCATATGTGTCTTCTTTCTCCGAAACTTCCAGATTTCGAATCTGCAATATGCTACTCTAAAAAAAAGAGACTATTTATATGTCTAGAAACCCTCCTGAGTTAAGTTGCCGTCTCCTCCAACCACAGTTGAACTGGGACTCTCCCTTCTCCAGAAGTAGGACTAAATCTGTTGTGTCGGATACTGTTGCTGTCAATAATTCAAATCTAAGGTGTTCGTCAGGTAACATGCTCCTGTGAACAAAGCATAACTAAGAAAAAATGAATGAGAGATATACCTTCTAAGAAGAGAATGCAACAGAAGAGACGGAAATTGGGGAAGCAAATACTACAGAATTCTAATCTTGTTCACCCTGAAATGTGCAAGCTATTGCTGAATCCTGGAATTTCAGATGATAAATATTGGAGAACTTGAATGCTAAGAACTTTTCGTGGAAGATTGACAACTTGGGAAACGCTTGTTATGATAGGTGAGAATTTTTTACAGTGTATAAAGCTGTAAGTTTAGGGAATCTTGAATGTTGATCGTATATAACTGTCAAACTGTTGAGTTCTCAATTTAGAAGGTCAAGGAAGGTAGCCACCAGCTGTCACCGCCCAGCCACCACTTAACCAGTCGCCAGCCGCTTTCACACCGTCGGTCACAAACCGCCTTCACACTTGAAGGTTGAATTTTCTTGTTTTGATTTCGTGTATAAATAGATAGCTAAGCTTATGCAATTATGTGTGGAGAGATTGAGAAAAACACTAGAGAGAAAGAGAGAAAGAAAGAGGGGTTGTTATTGTAAACTTTTCATTATTGTAAGCTTATTGTTCTTGAAATAAAAGAGTGTGTTTTATCCCCTCCGAGTGTTTCAAAGCGCGTTTAAAACCCACCACAAATGGTTTCTCTCACCAACAACTGGTATCAGAGCCCCGTTCGTTAGAAAACAGAGGTATTTTTGGGAAATATCTGAATTTTCAAAGTTGTCAAAAACAAGTTTTGATCATTCCAAAGTGTAGAGCTCATCAATACGAACTCAACGGTGCAAAAATCAGATCAATCGGAGCACGGGGTGGACCACACTCTCCGTCTGAAATTTCAGCACTGTAGCCCACGCGCCCCGAGGAAGAAGACGAGTGAGCCACACGCGCGCCATATTTGAGTCGCGCCGAGCCAAGCTCAAGCCGAGTCGCGAGCCGAGCCACAAGCCATATTTCGAAGCCGAGCCGAGCTCCAAGCC